TTGAGTATCTGCCTTTAGAAGATTCCAATCCCTGGCAAAACCATCACTAGGAAGAAAAAATAAATTAAAAAAAAAAGAGATAAAAGGAAGACAAATGCCATGGAGCCATCAGCTAGGTACAGAATATGTATGTAAATAATATGCAACAAGCAGCAGATCCATAAGGCCCTCTTGCATATGCTATTTATGCGACTGTCAAACTCATTCTGAAGATGTCATGCAAAGAGCCATGCCAGCAGTGCTGTACATATGCTCCAAATTTCATAATGTTATGTGGGATTGAGAATCAACTGCTCTGCTGGAACCAACTCATCCCAGCAGAGCTGCGCTGCTTTGCAGGAGCCAAAAACCAGGGCCTGAAGGTTTGTCATAAAGGGGTAAGGCCTCTAAACAGTGCCCCAGGGACAGCACCCAGCCGTACAAAGCCACAGCTCCTTCTGAAAAATAATCAGCACCCCTCAAGAGAGCAGCCTCCCTTTGTTCTGTAGCACGCTGCACTGCTCAGATACTCCTCCCCAAAGCAATACTTCATCTGCAGTGAGATCCTATCCCACCTTCCTCCAAGCCAAAGCCTTACCCAGAAGCAGTGCCGTCACCAACAAGCTGCTCCCACACTTCCCACTCCACCACATTCCCTCCCCACTGCCCTTTGATTCCCTCTTCCCAACGTGCCCCACCTGCACCCAGCACAGCACTGGGACTCATTGATGCCACCTGGGCTGCAATGTTCCTGCCCTGATTGCTGTAGGATCTGGTTGGGCAGAAGAAACGATGCTGGTATCGAGCGCGTGTGACGAAGCCAGGCATTTGAATGTGAAAAAATGCATGAAAAGTTTCTGAAAGACAGATATCCTACCACAATTTCCAGTTCTAAATGTGAAAAACTGTGCAAAAAGGCTGCAGGGAGTAGATAGCCTAACACACTCGTCACTGCTGGGCTCTCAAACACAAACCAGAATAACAGCAGCCCGTAGAGAACAGGGCTGGTATTGGAGGAGGCATAAAGCTCCTTACAGCCCTCTTAGGACAGGGCAGCTCTCTGTGCATAGGATCACAGGGTTACTGAAGTTGGAAAAGACCTCCACGAGCACTAATTCCAACCCCAGCCCACCCCACCATGCCTTCTGACCACATCCCTCAGTGCCAAACCTCCATCTCCTGACATGTGATGGAAGCTTTCCATTCCTTATGCAATCAAAGATCTGCACAGGCCAGTTTCCACACAGCTGGGGTTTGGTGTAGATTTATTAGGTCCCTCTTGTGCACTGAGGGTCAGCCATGCAAGAGGATGGGCTCAAGGGCAAAAAAAATCCCCAACTTTTCTTTAAATTAAAAAATATATATATAAAAAAATTCAGAGAGAGCTCTATTCAAATCTTTTCCTTGCATGAAATGATCTACAAGCATTAAGAAGCATCATCTCAAGCTATCAACTGGTTTTATGTAAATCTGAATGAGGGCTGAGGAAAGGGGGAGGGAAAGGGGGAGGGAAATAGCACTACTAAAATTGGTCCCTTACCTCAGGGGTATTATAATTTTATATAATTATAATTCTAGAGGTTTGGATTTGTGCTTTCCTGCAGCCTTCATGCTCCCACAGAAGATAGATGAGGTTATACAATAGTCCTGGTGTAGCCTCCACTATCATCTAGTAGTGCAGGACTGAGCTGCTGTACTCACAGTGGGTGGGGGTTAAGATTTGTACAGGAATGCCTTTCAATGCCTCCTCATCACTGTGAATCTGGGAGTATGACAGTAAAATTTAAACGATTTAACAGTTCTGCCTTATTCCTGTCCTCCCTGACCTGGTTTTCTTCATTCATGTCTTCAGGTGATGAGCCATTGTGCAGCAGCACCTACACATCCCATTAAAAACCCCACAGCCTGCAAAATGGGGTACTGTGCACCTCCTGCATGGCCCCTCACAAGCCCTTCCATCACTTTGCAGATCCCATTGGAACCAGCAGGTGATGCTGAAGCAGAAAACATGGAGTTCTTCTGCTCTCTATTAGGCTTTTATTTTCCTTCCATAAATCTCATAAGTGAGAAAAATACTGTGATCTTGTTGGGGGATTTGGAAAGTGTAGGATATAAGTGATGACATGCAGCATATGGCTTTGTTCTCACTATCTAGTCAACTCCTCAATCCCTGCAAATACACGTGGGATTTTTTACACCTAGCAAACAGCGAGGAGGGCACCTGATAGAAGAAGGGACATTCCTCTAGCAGAAGGTTGGTTGGGTGCAAGCTTTCCTTGCACTGCCTTTCACACAGCCCTTGCACATCCCCAACCTCACCGCGACATTCCTGGTGTAAGTTAGACACTGCATTTCCCTTTGCAAGTCTGCAGGTGTTGCAGGGAGCCTTGTGTAGAGCAGCTGTGCTGGGAGAGGAGACTCGTGGTCAGCACCTTGCTGACTCCTGGTGCACCTCTCCACAATCAGAAGGCTGCACAGCAATTGCAGCAAATGACCCCATCCAAAGCAAGAAGAGATGGCTTTTTCTTTTGCAAGGCATGCATCATCAGCAGTTTGGGGAGTCATACTGATCTGCAAGAGTCAGTGGAAAATCATCTTGATGGTCTTTGCTTGAAGCCTGAACATTGCAAGGCTTAGCAGTGCTACAGATGCATCTCTCTGGGATTTTTATTTGCTCTCACTGCTTGAGCTAATTCTTCATCTAAATACTTCTGCTGGAATCTCTGCCTGTGCGAGAGACTGTATTTATTAGATAAAAAGGAGAAACTGGTATGTCATTGCTAAACATCAACAAAAGCTCCTGTTATTGCCAGCATCCACTGCAAGATACAAAAGATCCATCACCCTTTCTCAACCCTGCATCACAGCTCGTGCTCACGTCCCATTTGCAGGCAGCCATGGCACACACAGTTGGCCACTCCTGGCCACCAGACGTGCAGCTGCTGCATTCCCAACTGATGGAGAGCCACCAGCAGTGCCACCCTCACCCTGCAGACTTCTATCCCCTAATTGAGGCAGTGCCCAATCCAAGGCCCTGACGGTCATCCCTCTGATGTGCAAAGTGTAAACACGTGGACTAAATGGCTTTTGCCTAATGCCGGCCATCCTATGTAGCACCAGGAGGGATAATTTGTTCCATTCCCCTGGCCGTGCCTCAGTTTTTCCCTCAGCTGTCAGCTCAGGCGTGTGACACGTGCTTATTTCGCTCAGACAAAATCAAAAAAATCAAATCAGTACATTTACCAGAAACATTAAATTGTGGGGAAGAGGCACTTGACAGGCAGCCTCCACTCCAGGGGATGGGAAATGCAAAAGCACTATCTGACAGGCGGTGACATTTGCAAGTATTGCCAAACTTCAGCAGCAGAAGGGGAAAAAAGTAATCTTTGGTATGTCAAGGGACCTTCAGTCATGTCCTATCCACTACCAGGACCAAGATCCACATTACAGAGTCACAGAATACCCCACGTTGGAACGGATCCATAAGGCTCAACAAGTCCAACTCCTGCCTCCATATCGGACCATCCAAAAATAAGACCAAATGTTCAAGAGAGCCTGGAAACGGGCACCAGAAAACAGCCCCTCAATACCCCAACTGCTGTACACTGTATTTGCCCCATTGCTTATCAGTTGGAAACTGGGGGTGCAATGCACTGGTCCAACCATGCAAAGAGTGTGCACATGGACAAGCATGCAACTATTACACAAGTTTTTCTCCACTCATGCTGGATTTGCACAAGGGACGTTTTTCTCCTCTCACCCCCCATGGCTTTGCCTGCCCAAGTCCCATACATTCTCCTTTATGGAAGTCCATCACTGTACCCAAGTGCATTCCACATAAAATAACAGTAAAATCTGTTAGGATGCCTTTAGTTCCAGTGTTGAAATGTACTGGGCTTAATGGTTTTGCTTGATGAATACATTCAGTATAGATTTGAGTTCGTTTTCCATCTCCAGAGATTTTAGTTCAGTTGAAGTGCACCTATTTCTACAAAAACACATAAACCACGAGGATCCAAAGAGAACAAAGAAAGTTCACAAACTCAATGAGAATTTTCACACCCCCTTTTCATCTCCAGGTCAATCCTTGATGAACTCCAGCCAAACATTTTCATAGTTTCAGTTGAATTTACACACCATTTTTCCTAGAAAGATGTGATGCCACTAACTCTCCAAGCTCCAAGTAATAAAAGCCAAAACCCCGGGTAAGAGGCACAGTGACCTTGATGGAAAGCTAACAGAATAAATGTGGAACAGAAACACCTGAAGTCCTCTGTAGCATCCTTTGGTGCTGCTGGCTGTCTCAGCTGCAGAAAATGTCACCTCTGGCAAGCAGAGGGCTTAATCAAAAATTAAGTTCTAGGAAAAAGGAAGAAAGAAAGAAGAAAAATACCTGCTTTCATTCTAAGAAATACCAGATGCAGCTTCCATCCTCAAGGAGAGCGCTGAGAAATCATTTCCTAGTTGGCTGGGGGGCTGTTGGGCTATTTGCTTGTTAACGATGAGATGCAGCCAAACCTAAGGAGAGGAGCGGAGCTGGAATGGGCACATGGAGCTCTCTGAGACTGGAGGAGAGCCCTGGGGGATGAGGCAGCCATAGCACATCCATGTCCCCACACAGCCAGCAGCAGATTTGGGAGTGTTGAAACCACCTATGGCAGCTGCAGGAGCTGGCAGGAGCCACGTGCTGCTATCAAAATGAGCCCTGCTAGCTCTGCGATAAGCACACGCAGCAGTGCCTGCCAGCTCCTTCTCCATGTTAGCCTGCACTCATCCACGTGTTCTCAGCTTGTTTGCAGCCCATCCTCTGCTTTGTACAGAAGGCTTCTCCCTCCGTGTGGGTCTGCCAGTGGTCTGTTACAGAATCATAGAATCATACAGTCAGTATCGTTGGAAAAGACCTCTCAGATCCCCAAGTCCAACCCCAGCCCACCCCACTGTGCCCACTGCCCACGTCCCCCAGTGCCACATCTCCATGTTCCAGAACACCTCCAGGGATGGTGACCCCACCACCCCCCTGGGCAGCTCTGCCACTGCATCACCACTCTTTTGGAAGATATCCCACCCCAAAATGACACAAGGATCTTCTTCATCCTCAGCAATCCCCTTTGCCACTGCTGGGCCTCCACCACAAAGACCTCTGCTTCACCCTCAGCCGTGTAGTGGACATGGTGGTGGGTTGGTGGTTGGACTAGAGGATCTTTGTGGTCTCTTCCAACCTTAACAATTCTATAATCCTCTGACAGTATATTTTAAAAGCCCTGGAGAAACTCCTAATCTTACTTATCTTTTTAATGAGAAATATTATGCCTGGGGACAGCTGCTGTCCCTATGACCAACGCATTCTGAGAGTACAGCTGTGTTTTCTGGACTGTATTCTCTTTTCCTCCTCATGCAATATTTGTTTCCTGAGGGAGAAAAACAACAGATCAATTTTGCTCCATTATGTTCACTGCACATTTTTAGAGATTCCTTACAAAATTCACTGTGCTGTTCCACCCTGTTTATCTGAAAGGTTACAGGAACTTCAAGCATCATTAGATCCTTGACAGAAATTATTTTTGCTTGCAATTTACCATCCCTGCTTGGAGAAAAGCCTGCAATCTAAGGCAGATGAGCTGCCCTGGAGCTCGTTAGCTGTGTGAGTCTCTGCCCTCTGTGCAGATCAAAGCAGCAGCTCACCCAGGGCTTCCTGAAGTCTCCCCACCCATGCCCTGCTACAGCACAGCCTCACTTTGCTGCCCATGATCTGCTCCACACTGTGCTTCCAGCTTTTTCCAACACCAAAGCCCCAGTGGGGAAACCTTTGCTTCTCCTCTTCATACGTTCAAGATGCATGTTTTCCATGAAAGCATCCTGAACCCAAATGGATGTCATAAAACTGTAAGGGTTGGCAGGGTCTTCTAGAGATCATGCTCTGCTGTAGCTGCAGGGAATAAGCCCAATGCCTCTGCTGAAATTAATAGGTCCTATTTTGCCATTGATTCCTCACACTGCCTCAGTCCTTCTGCTTTAATGGCACTCCCTCAGGCATGTCTTGCTCTTCAGTTCGTGTTCATGCAGCATTTTCCATGGGCAGCCTGTGAGTGGCCTTCTGGACACTGTCACACTGCAACAAGTGCTGGGGGCTGCATCCCACTGCTGTGGCTTCAAGCACCACTTCACCCTTCAAACAAAGGTGAACAGCTTGAAAACACTGCGGTTTATCATTTCTTCTGCTTGGCCAGAGAATGTCACTGAAATAAGTTTCCCATTTCTTTGTAATATGTTCTTAACAGAGAGCACTCAGGCATTAAGATCACTGGCTACCATGGACTAAAATACCTCCTGTTTTTCATGTGGGGAGAAGTGACCTTAAAAAACTTGTGCATCAATTCAATCCTTCACTGCGACACAGTCAAAACAGCATTTAACCTGAAGGAAGCATTTAACCTGACACCAGAAGGCAGACCAACCAAAAAACTTTCAAAAAGTTATACCATAACTATATTTAACTTGAGAAATGAACTAAAAACCTTGGAAGCCCCCAGAAATGTCATGAGACCCAAAGGGATCAGTGCCTGCATCAAGTCCTGACTCCACCTGGAATGGGTCAGGCTCCCCGTATCTTGTTTTTCCTATTTCCATCATCAGGATGTGGAATGTTCCTCTGCCCTCTAAGGGACGATCTGAAAAAATCCAGGCGAGGTCTTTGATTGCCAAATGAAGAGTGCTGGCCAACGAGCACAGCTTCTTGCAGTCATCATACTCATCTGACAAGAGCATCCCTTCAGCACAAGGCCAGGTGACCAGGTTGCTCCAACCCCATCCACGTGGCAGAGATTTGCTCTGGGGCTGAGCACCTCTGAAGTGTAAGGATCACCCCTGGAATCTGCTGCTCAACCAGCACTGACTCAAGCTGCAAGCCCCAGGCAGCAGCACTTTTGTCCAACGGATGCCAATGAGATGTATTACTCATCCCAGGAGCAGGCGGGACTGGGATTTGTGCCCTGAGGGCAGCAGTCACCTAGCAACTCTGAGAGGCTGTGCCGTGCTCCTGACACATCTTTGACAGCAGCACTGTATCCTTTCAAGTCACTGTTAGAAACGAGAAGAAACACGAGAGAAATTGATAGGTTGAGTCTTCTTACAGGGTGAACTTGCATTGCTCCTCAGGCTTCATGGATTACTCCTGAGCTCTTGCTACTAGCCAAGGTGATGGAGGAGGGAATAGTGAGGCACAAGCAGCATCACTCCCTCATCCTACAGCCCAAGGCTGGGATCAGCCCTTGGAGAAGGCAGAACTGGAAAGGCATGAATGGCTCCAACCAGCCCCGTGAGGCCCTCAGCATCCTTGGGAAGGCAGAAAGGTGAAGGCGCTGCCTCTCGGCTTTGGAAGGCACTCAGCAATGCTGCTCTGCACAGATGGGCACAGATCCTGTGCTGTCCATGTTTTGGTGGCTGGGTTGAGTCAGCTGTGCTGAGGACTTATCCAAATGCCTTCTTGGATGGAACCCAGCCACATAAATAGACTACGCCACCTTTTTTGGAATCGTTTATTTTTTAATTTTCCTTTTCAAAATGTTCCTTGCAGTTGGCTCCCACCCTCATCTATAATTCTTACAGCAACACTCTGGGGCAAACAAACAAACAAACAAACAAAGCTCAATTTTATGACAGCCCAGCAAAAGACCTCACCTTGCTCTGTACCTAGAAAGGATGATGCAACCACAGCCAACCCCAGCAGAGCTCCCACCAAGGGGCAATGCCCCCTGCTGCCTTGTGAAACACTGTCGACCACTTTGCAAAACACAGGTTGTCCTCGACCTGCCTAATAACCATGACTAAGCTGATGAATTCAAGCTTCTAAAGACCTATGTTTCATAAACCCATTTGTTTTATTCCTAGCGCTGAATTCCTCATCAATTGAATTCTCTTTCACCTGTTATATCATTTTGTCCACAATTACTAGCTTGCATTTATCCCAGATATAATAACAGCCTTTTTAAAATACAAACTAGCCTTTTCCCAGCTTTTCTGGTGCTGATTAAAAATGAACATCTGCAGACCTCAGCCTTCTGCACCAGCTCTTCTGAGACTCTCCAGCACGCGTTACATAGACACTGATTTCTAAGTGTACCCCCTGACAACACAGACATAATTTACTACTCCACTGATTAAAGACGGGTTGGGAAAGATTGCACTGCCCATTAGAGACACAAAGCACATCATTCTGTCTTTCCAAATGCCACAAAGAAACACTGACCGAAGATGATTGCATGGATTGAACCACTCCACGCACTGACAAACCCACCAGCTGGAACCATTTTTTTCCTTCTGTTCAAAGATATTTAAAGATTTTTTTTTGTGCTTCCTCTTGACAACCACAGTTTCCACACTCTTATAAAAATTGTCCTCATGACTTACGAACTTCATAATTCCTGATACGCATCATTTGGTATCAAGCTCCTTTTGCAAACTACTGCTTTTCTCATATCACTTATACCTACCCTGGCTAGGCTCTTGAGACTGGGAGACCTCAAGGCAAAGACTTCCTCACGATGAATTCCAAGGGCTTGTCCATCATCCACGATGAACTCTCCTCAAAATCCCCTACATGCACGCCTTTTTTCTGCCCTTATCTCCCATCCACTTCCAAGTGCAGCCACCCCAGCATTCCTTTGGCCCTTTGAAAGCTGCCATAGGACTGCATGGCTGTGACAGGGATGGAAACGCTGCCCTTTTCAGCCCCTATTGGATGCAATCAGGCTGTGATCAGCAGTTCCTAGGCAACCACAAAATTCCTGTCCAGCAAGGTCCGGAATAGGCTTGGGGATTGTTTTGGACAAAATGCCTTTTGTGCTAGAAAACTATTAGATATCGTTATGAGAAATCCTTACCACATTTTACTTACCAGATTTTAGATAGCAGCTTCCAGAAGTCATTCTCAGCACATCTGCAATGACAGCAATTTGCTTTTTGCACATCATCAGGCAGCTGTGGGCCACAGGACCCTTTCCTGCCACATGGGGGTTCGTTATGTAAGCACAGGTCCACACTCCTCCTTTGCTCTGCCAGCACAGAGGAAATCCCACTTATCTCTCTTATAATTCTGCAGACAGAAATAAATATTAATGTGAAAATTTTCTGGCAAAAAAACAAGGGAAGGGAAGGGAAGGGAAGGGAAGGGAAGGGAAGGGAAGGGAAGGGAAGGGAAGGGAAGGGAAGGGGCTCCAAAGAACCTGAATAGGACCAGAGAGTCAGCAGCCAACCACCAGGAGGGCTGAAATAGAGGTCACAGGGAGAGCATGTCACTGAAGCTGTTCTCAGCAGGGCCTGAGAATGGTGGCCTGAAATAGGAATCATCACACTGGTCAATTGGAAATGGCAGCTGATGGTCACCATGTCAAGCCCCTTCAGTGACCCCTGTGAGATCCCAGTGCTGGAACACACAGCCCCCCATGAGAACCAGGCACCAAATAAGATGCTGTACCTCCATTCTCCAGTTCCTCCAATGCTCAGCTTCAGGAGAACCATCTTGCTCCCTCCTAACTCTCAGCTCACCCAGACCTCACATCCTTCCTCCCATGTCTCAAAGGTGCCCCAGAGCTGCTGGCTCACGAGCATCCATGATTCGACTTGATGACCTGAGAGGTCTTTACCAACATCAGTGATTGTACAAAGCCCAGGTGAGCAGTGCATTGGGAAGAAACATCATGCTTAATTTCTTCTGCTGCCCTCATTTGTGAGAAGAAGGAGCACTGTCCTACAGGAACATTTCACACTGCAGCTGCTGAGACACCTGCTCTCAGAGCAGCAGAGTCACTCCTCAGGCTGTGTGAAGCCCAGTCTGTGCATGTCCATGCATTGCACTGTCAGCAAGTTGGGGATTAAAACCTTGGGAAAAGGGCTTTCTCAGCCCAGCAAGCAAAAAGTAAGACAAGCATCCCTATGATGGCCTCACCGAACCCAAATCCTGCTGCTGTGGTATTGTGGGTAGGTGACAAATCCTAATGTCTTTCTCACCCTGAATGTCCCACAGCTTTGTTTACCTGTTAAAGGATTCAGTTCCAGTGGCAGAGATGGGAAGATCTCTCAGCAATACCTCAGAGCACTTTTCACTCTCAGAGCCATGCTGCCCAGAGCAGCATATTTAGGAGGTAAAAGCTGGCGAGCCTTGCCCTGAATTCAGCACAACGCTATTTATCTAAGCAGAGAGCAATAATAACACAGCAGAGATTTCATTTCCTTTCAACACATAAGAACTCTGCTGAGTGAAGGTGAGATTAAATAATACAATAGACAGAAAGAGAGCAAGGCAAAGGAAGGTTTTAAAGTCTTTCTCCTTTGGCAGGAGTTACAGGAGTCTTCACAGCTAAAGCTCCCTAGATATCCTGAGCCTCTTATTGAAGACAGCCCTGTTGCACACTCACCTCCAGCAAGACCTACGCCTGATGAAGTTAGCAGAATGTAATACAGACCGCCTTGGGCTTTGCCACTCTAAACATTCACCCAGCTTCTTCACCATGCTACAAAATTGAATTTTTTTCCTTTCAAATGCATGGGAAGAAGCACTGCTTAGTTCTGAAGGACAATGAGCAGCGTAAAGGAATCCAAATTCTTGATGTGTTGGCGCGGGCCTTGGCTCAACAACGGACTTGATATGTGCTGAAGCCAGGATATATCCAGGAATAAAACATAGGTGAGATTGAAGCACGTTCTCAAGCAGATCCACTCGGGCTCCATCAGGCAGCATGGGCAGCACAGCCCACCCAGAGCTGACGAACCACAAAGCGAGCGATATGTGCAGGAAGGGAAGGAATGCTCCAGAGAGAAGCACAGAAGGAGGAGTGACATTTTGGCACTTTATTGCAGTCAGAAAGCTGGGTTTTGGCTGTGCCTCACGGCTTTACTTCCAGCCAACACAACAGAAGATGCTGTGCCTCCTGTGCAAGAGCCCATTGATGCCATTGGAAGCCACAATGCTCCTTATCGCCGAAGACGTCTTGAGATCTGAACAGGAGCCAAGAGCTGCAACGAAATGTAAGACTTAATTATGTCTGACAAAAGCAAATCAATTAAAGGCTGCTTCACATCTGTGTCGTTTTGATGAAGGCTTCTGTTTTCCCATCTCTCCTCCGCTCCCTTGAAGAAATCTGAATATTTATCGCCAAGAATTAGGTCAAAGCCTAGGAGTGAATAAATGTTTCTCCGTGCAGGAGACAAGGAAAATCTCTGATTGCTAAACATGAAGCAAAATCCACATTATCTCTCAGGACTGCCAGGTAAAGCCTCCACCCGTAAAGGAAGGAACTCACCTGAGCAGTGCTGTGCCTGTGCAGCCTGAGCTCTGCAGAAGCAGTGGGACTGAGCACCAAATGCCCAGGATAAAGGTGGTTTATTTCTCCAACATCCATTAGATTTGCTTTTAAACCTGCTGTTAACAGCCTTTCAGGGGAGATCCAGGACTCTGCAACAACAATTCCATGGGTAGTTATTCACAAGGCATGACTACAAGCCCTGAAAAGAAAAACATTTATATGGAATGCACAGCAATGGCAAAACTCGTGTGTTTGGTGCAAGAACCCAGCCAGCACACTGCCCTAACCAAGCGCAAGGTGTTGCAGGAACCACATGAGATCAGCAGCATGCTGAGCCTGGCAAGATGTTCCCACTGCATCCCCAGCTGCGTGCCTTGCAGGTGAGCTCACAGCAGAGGTTGCTCACTGGCCAAAAGCCATGGGAAAAAACCATCCCTTCCTCTGCCAGCCCCACAGGAAGACTGGGCTCTCCCCCAGGCACTGTGATGTGGCCATCATCTTCACGCTCAGCCCCATCCCTGCTCCCTGTGGGCCATTCCTCAGGGAAACTTCAGTTGGAGACTCACAGAAATGATCATCCTGGTGGAATAATTATATCTGTATTGAGCTAATTCCTCTCCTCAGAGCCTGCCAAATATTAAGCAAAAGCAATGCAGCGTGCTTTGTCACCCAAGTGCATCGGACAAGGCTGACACTAAGTGAAAACCAGTGCTGACAGCATCGCTCTGTGTTCAACATGAATATATATAAATATAATACTTAGGGGAGAGGCTCGGGCTGGATGTTAGGAACGTGCTCTGTCCCCAGATGCTCAGGGAGCATCAGGACAGTGCTCTCAGCCATAAGGTTTGGGTGGGCCAGAGGGTGGACTCCATGATCCTTGTGGGTCCCTTCCAACTCAGGATACCCTATCATGCTATAGCACTGAAATCTTTCAAGGGAAAAAAAAAAAACAATTTTCCCCCCTCCTCTGTTCATCTCTCTATTGCGAGATTTTCCATCCCTGGTAATTTACAGCTTTCTCCATCCCAGTGGGATTGAAAATTAGCTCTGTCACCTTGTCTACCCGAAAGCACTGTACAACTGGCAGCACTGATTGCCCAATTTCCTTCAATAGTTAACTCTTCTACCATGAGGAGCAGGATGATCTGTGGCCATGCTGCCAGTGTATCTTCTGATTTTATACATCTCTCTGTCCTTGCCATGCACTGTCATGAGCAAAGGAGAAAAAGCACACTGCCCAAAGTGGCAGTGCAAGAAATGCTCTGCAGCCCTGCAATGCCACTGGGATGCGAAACACGGGGTGACAAGGGTTCAGTTGGAACATTTGTGCTGAGGCTTCAGAAGAAGAACAAAAACCGAGCAAGGCATCAGCATGGAGTGGCTAGAGGAGGATTATTGACTGCTAGCCCATGAACGCCAGGCAGTGAACAGGAAGGAGTAGCTGGAAGTTACGGGCAGGCAGATACTGAATGCCAACAGCAGGCTGGGACAGCCTGGTTCCCAAACCCTGGTTTCCCAGGGCTTCCTGCCAGTAGCACTGCTGGGTCTGCACCAGGCCCTTGCAGAGATGAGCAACACCAGCACCTAAACCTAAGTTTGCCCCCCTTCCCAAGAACAGCCCATGCTGTAAGCAGACCCCTGAACCCCCGTGGACTGGTTTACACATCCTTATACACAGGAAAGCAGCGATGGAAATGACAGATTTTGTTCTTAAACAGGAGCAGCTAATGAAATGTCTTGCAGAGATGGGCTGCAGAGGTTGTGCGGGGAGATCCCAAGATGAGATGGAGTCATTTTGCTCCATGATAAGATATCTAGAAAAGAAAAGAACCACGGGTACCAATGAATTGCTATTTCAGGCTCCTTCCTGCTCCCAAAGCCATCAGACACCTCTCTAAGCCAGAAACATTGCACACACAAGGCTATTACCAGCCTGCATACAGTAAGACCATTTTAGCTAATGAACCCCCTTCAGAATCTGAATCAGCACCTCTCCTGATGGCTCACAAAGAGCCCACCAGTGACCCCAGGAGCTTTGGGGAGCTGCTCCAGGGACACAACCCAGCCTTAGGAAACTGCTCTGCCTCTTCTCTCAAGGCCTTTGGTTACACCCAGGAGGCAAGCAGCAATATTTATGGCATTACCCAATAATTAAACTCATTGTGATTTATCCTCTTCCACAATGCTGAAGATCTTTATGGATTGATGAGTTGGCTGGATGCAGCAGATCTGTGGCCCTCCAGCACTTTGAGGTGGACCAAGGACCTCCTCTGCCCCCCTCCCACAGAAACCCAGGCCTTCTGCAGAAACCTTTTAATTTCTTCTTCCTGCTGCTCTCATCTAATTGTCCTGCTCTTATTTAATTCTGAAAACTGCTTTTGGAAGTCTCTGTATGTGAAAACTGAAGTTTTGCTCAGTCAGATGTTTACCTGTGCAAAAATAACCTCAAGAAGGGCTGGGCTTACAAGGTTCTGCCATGCTGGGCGTCAGAAAATGCATCCTTTAAGTAGTCTGTGACACCAGAACACAAGCAGCCACTTCCCAGCACCAAATCATCCCATAAGTGTACATGAACAAGGCTGTACACCCCATTTCTACACCATGTTCCAGAGCCGGGCTCTGCTTGGGTCTCCCCTGGAGCCACCACCGAGTTTTTTCAGTGAAAGAACCTCTGCATTTCCTTCTACCTTAGAAAAGGCCAAAAACAGCACCACAAAACCTAGCTCTGCAATTACAGAAACTTGTCTGTTCATCACAGCTTAATTGTTTCACACCTTTTGTTAACCTTCTGCTAAGTCCTGAACTACTAACTACTCAGATGGTGATAATTCTCATCATTAATGCATGAACCCTGGGGCAAAATCATTCAAACATCTTAACATTTGCACTCTCTCGTTTGAGAGCAACATCAAATATTCAGAACAGAAGCCCGAGTGGAAATGAAAGGCCTTGCTGGAATGGCAGATGTTCTAAGCAGAGCTCCTACTGCTGCAGGTGAAGGGCAGCTCCAGAGGTACAACCAGCACCACTCCCACCACTGGTACCTGGCTGAGCAGCATCTGCACATCTTCTACCCCAAAGCATCATAGAATCATAGAATATTTGAGTTGGAACAGGCTCATAAATATCATTGAGTTTAACCTCAATAGTGCAACTTTCATCCTCCACTGCCATCTCATCACAGCAGGGGGGAAAGTGAACCCACACCAGCTGTGGCATGGGGGGAGCATCCCAAATTACACCAAAGGATCTGCACTTTAATTGTACTTTCTGTAGGTATGGTTGGAGCAAGGTGCAGCTCTGGATGGGAGCTGAGGCACAGCAGGGAGCTGGTTCTCAGCCCAGCACAATGCCCCGTGTGTTTTCAGAGCAGAAGGAAGGAAAAATGGAGTAAAAAATTGGCCAAAGACATGAGTTTCTGTGGGAGGGAAGCACTGGAGTTCCTTAGTCCTCCTCAGAGTGCTGGAGGATCCCAGATCTACGGCATGCATCTCAGCAACATGGTTTTCCAAGGCACGGGCACCTTCAAGCCTAAGTCAGCATCCAGCCATTACTTCCCTCGTTGAGGACCAGCTGCATCCCAATGCTTGAGTTGAGCCATGAAGGAAAGCCAAGCTCTATCAGAACCAGAGGGATGGAACTGCCACACCAAAAGTCTTTTCTTTAGCACTTCACCCACTCTTGCAGGAAATATATTCTCAACTCCCCTTCTGCTCTTCCTTTCTCCAAAGCAATAGGCAGCAGCTTTTATTAAGAAAAAAAAAATAATAATAATAATCTGCAGGGCATGTGTGGTCAATGGCTTTTAATGGGTCTTAATAACATTTTTAGCATTGTGTTCCCAAGGGCTCATGTAAATAAAAAATGAACAAAATAAAAAAGAGAGGAAAAAGCACAGCAAAACAAATAGCTTGTGCACAGTCTGCTTGGAGTGCTTAATAATCCCCAAAGTAAAAGGCACTGCAGGGGAGAGGCAGGAGCCACGATCCCAATTACACCCTGTCTGTCCTCATAAACCAGAGAGACGGGGCTGCTGCTGGAAGACACTGATCCTAACGCTGCTAAAGACCCATATTGCAGGAATATGGGATTTGATTTTGATATGAAATTGCAGGAATGCTCACAGGAATCAAACTCTGAGCTTGAACTGCTGAGGTTTTGCTAAAGGACAGTCTGGATCTTTCCAGACAGGCAAAATTTGCAGCTGCCCCTGAGCTCAAGCATTTAAACACGCAGAGTGGGGCTGAGGTGTTTCCAAGCAAAAAGGGGCAACGCTCCGAGCTGGAGAAGGCCAGGACAGGTGGGATGATCACCAAATGCTTCCAGCCTGACCCCACAATGCTCCCAGCTGGGGCAGGAGCACTGCTAGGGGATCTCTGAAAGGCAAAGGCATCACTGCCATTCTGCAGGAGACCCTGACGTTGTCACCACTCCTTTGATTCATTGCATGGCTTCCACAGACAGCAGTGCACAAATGAAGTTCAATGCTGCTGATTTCTCCCCCACTGCTGTAAGAACTCAGCTCTCTGCACCTCACAGCATAGGGCTGCTCCTCGCCACCTCTTACACTGCAAATATCTCATGTTTAGCATCCCTTAGCCTGGACTCAACAGGATGAGAATAAGGAAGAATGATGAAAAAGAAAAAAAAAAAAAGCCTCTTTTTTTTCTTTGAAAACAACTTTAAGCTTTCCTTGGAAAGGAATTATCTGTCATTTGTACCATACTCAGCAAATGCAGCATTGTGTTACACGGACCTTTCAGGAAAATTAAAGGGCTGTTACTGCTCCACTCTGCTGCAGGGGAAGCTGACACCATCACTTACTAATAAGATTAAGGGATTTCAGAATTCCATTGCAACTCCCTCAGTACCTGGATGGTTCCCCAGCCTCACTCGCAGGTACATGCCAGAGTTACTTCATGCAACTGAGAATGGGAGAATTAATTTCCAAATTGAATGAAAGCCCAGAAAATCCACCAGGCACAGCCTCCTCAGGCTGATGGTGATGCTCTGCAGCACAGCTCCCCATCCTGCTCCAATCCAGCTGTCCACGCTGTGCACTTCACCCACGCTTCACCTGCTTGTGCAAACAGGGACATCTTGCAGAGAAACAGATGCAGGCAGCCCTGCTGCACCTACCACCTGT